TTTCCATCAATTAGGTAATTGCTTCAGAATATGAAACTCAGCTTCCACCAATAAAATAAAGTGCAATGAGCACTTTAATTTGGGATAAAGACAGAATTTATCCTGGCCAAGTTCCTATGCTAGTTCATTTTAAGCTTAGTGGACCTTTTTGGATTTTTGTTTTTGTTTTATGTTTTATTTATTTATGTTCTTTATAAAAAGAATTGTCTTCCTGGGATACTTTTGCTTTGCTCATATGTTCTTTTGTATAACACAGAAAATTATTTTTTTATAATGGGATGGACCTCTGAAGGCTTGTTTTTTAAAATTTTAAAAATTATTTTCCTAAATTATAAAAAATAAAGGATTAGAGTGTGTGAAGTGCACATGTGCCAGTGTGTATGGTAAAGGTCAGGAATTCTGAGGCAGGTAAGGTCAGTTCTCTTTTATGGTGGGTTCTGGGGACAAGGCCTACATGGCAAGTGTTCTTGCTAAGCTGTCTTGCAAAACCTGTTCTTTTCTTTATCCATTGTTTCCTGATGCCTGATATTCATGAGTACCTTAGTGAAAGCCCAAGTGCTGCTTCCTGCAACCCCAATGAATGTTGAGCCATCATGTGTGGCAATACTTTTACATATCTATATCATATATACCTTTTATTTTCTCTTATGTAGATACCAACTCAAGGAAGACGTAGTAATCATGGTACCTCAGTTTCTATGGTTTCCACTTAGATTAATAATCTCATCATTACCACAGCCTCACATGCCAGACTTCCACAGTATTAGTCATTTCTTGCTTTAAGTCTTCTCTAAGCAGTTCAGATGCAGTTTTCTGTAGAAGACAATGGAGGCACCCATCTGCATGCTAATACATGCTTCTTCTATATTAAAAGTTAGACCTGAAGGATAAATTCTATCATTTCTGCTTTTTCTCTTTCCTTTACTGTTAAATTCTTCTCATAGATTGAAACTTCTGTGACCCCAAGAAGGTATCTATAGCACAGATCTAGTTAGTAGTCTTCTTCCCCATGGACCCGGCCAGTTATAATTGCAAGCCACACCTGTATTTCATCCACAACTTTGTTTCAACTTTGTTACTAGCTAAGTAATAGTACTGATAATAGGGAGAACAGGATCATGTTTTGCTCCATGTAATTTCCCTATTACATGGGCATGTTCATTATAGTTCATTATAGGGAGGCAGTGGAACTTGTTATGCCTCATAATCCATACACAAGGGCATACAAATGACATAAGCTGCTTACACTTGAACTCACAGTATGACTTTTGGGAGTTCTATGTTCTCTAATCCATTGGCATTTTTACTAGTACACACATATTGTTGTAGTGGATTCTATTAAGGTGTGCTTCCTCACCCCATGAAGAAAAAGACTGTCCTAATTACCTTTCTTCATTTTCTTCATCAGGTTTACAAACTCAACAGTCCTCAGACAAGAAAGACTCAATTGAGGAATTGCCTAAATAAAATTGGCCTCTTGAGAAGTGTCTTAATTGGTGGAAGAGAGCCCAGCTTACTGTGACTGGTGGAAGCATAGGCAGGTGTCCCATAGTTAAATAAGGTAGTTGAGCATGGCCTATGATTGAGCCAGAGTGTGAACAAAAAAGAGGCATTCCTTTATGGTTTCTGCCTAGAGTTCTTACCCTAACTTCCCTTAATAATAGGATGTATAGCATAAGATAAATCCTGTCCTCTCTTAAGGGGCTTTTGGTCAGTGTTTTTCTAACAACAATAGAAATCTAATTCAGTCACCCTGGAATTCTTCCCCCAAATGCTCCACTTTCAGATGGTACAAACTTGGTTGCTTGTCTTAGCACTCATATCAGGCACCATGAAACTACTACTAAATCAGGGAGGCACACTATCTACTACCACATGGGAAACCCTTTCCAAGACTGCCTAAAATGGGACCTCACTCTCTCAAGGATCAGCTTGAGGTGTACATCTTAAGTCCCATAGAGAGCTCATGTGGCTATTTCTCATTCCAAAGACATCTTGGATTGTGTCTGTCCCTGTATGGTGGCCCTGTTTGTAGGATGTGACTTTCAGTGCAGATATAAACAAATGTCTATATCCCAGAGAAGGCATCAGACCCAGATCAAGGAAACAATTCCATCAAGCCTGGTTTGACAAACCAATTAACAACTGAAGTTTACTTACACCAGTATGGGTGACTCAGAGGCAGCTCTAACACCAAACACCCTACCCCAGCTTGGGAGACAAGAAAATAACTGCATCCTTGGAGTTCCTTTTCCACTCTATGGGCATCTTTCCATACAAGCTTCCGATTTAGAAGCTATCATAGTCTAGGGGATGACTCTTGAAAATTTTGAATCCTGATTGTTTGATGATTTTCTTGTTTAATTAGCTTCCTCTCCCAATGTCATAGAGGTCATTCTTGTTTTCCATAGGATAGACTATTTCAATTTAGCAACTACCTACACCACAGTTCCCAGAATGTACTCAATAGATGAGATAGTATTAAGACTGTCAATTGTCTTATTTGCAAATCAGGGCTATACTTCTATTGGTCAGAAAACTTAGCCAAGTGACTAATGTATTCCATATGAACTTCTTCATTGGTAAACTTGGAATGATAACTGAACACAAGGATGCTAATCCAGCATACTCAGTAGTTACCTGTAAGGCATTCCTGCTTGTCTATGAGAAGAACTACATAGTGTTTGACCATTTATTATCAATGCATTATAGTACTTTATTATGAAAAAATGTGTTTTCTATAAAATAAGGAACACTTCACAAAAAACACCTACATGTTATATGCACCTAGGTACAGAACTACAAAATAAAATTTAAAAATGGCAAAATCAGAAGAATGTTAATCCATAAAGACAGTAGACTACTTCTATGGCTCTACCACCAAATCTGTTTAAAAGAAAATAATTTGTACATACCATTAAAATAGACTACATTGATGTGCATACATCCTATATAAACATGGTAGAGAATATATATTACAATCAAAGAACTCTGGATATCATTTGACAGATAGGTTTATCAGTTAGATATAGCATTTAGCCTGAACTGATGTCATTTCAAAAACAAACAACAAATCATGTTGTTCATGGGTTTTGGAGGAAACTAAATCATTGTTACTGCTCCCTTGTTTATGTCATCATGATCAAGAAAAAACAAAACATTTCATATTCCAGATGTTTCAGCTAGTTGTAAAGAGAAAGTGTGAGAAGAGAAAATGAGTGAAAAGTCAGGCTTTCCTTTCAGCCTCCAAATTTCATAGCACCAGTGTTTAGCCTTCAAGAAATCCTGATATATTATTATAATACTCCTTAAATATTTAGAAAAAGTATTTACTTGGTTGTTGGGCTGACATTTGTGCTGATGTTAGAGGATAACATCTAGAAATCCATTCTCTCCTTTCACTGTCTGGGTTATAGGAACTAAACTGAGGTAATCAGGATTTGTGGCAAAAATCTTCACCCACTGTCGGCTTTAAGTAGGACAAAATAGAGACTGGGTACTTACAGGAGTGAAAGAATAAAATGGATAAATATCATACTCTGATACAGATACTATGTCAGCCAGACAGGCTGGCATCAAATTCAAAATCCAACTTGTCAGTCTCCTAAGAACTATGAATACTATTGTGTGCTATCTTTCCCAACTGTTCAGAAGATAAGCTACAAGTACACTGCACTGACAATTTGGAAATGTTAAGGGATGTTTAGGTGGGGTGTACAGTGAGGTCATGCACATAAACATACATGTTTGTAGAACAAAATTGAAAATTAATAATCTGGAAACTGAACCTACAGATACTACCTACTGACAAAGATAACTCCACACTCATCCATTTCATTTTCAGTATAAATTATTACACAAATTACTCAGTAGAGAGCTGATGCTAAAGGACCCTGACATGTATTACTTCAGTTTCCTAAGGTGTGACTCTTAATTATACACTTAGAAGAAATCACTACAAACTATTTCCTCCATCAGAGGATGCCTTGAAGGCTTGCCAATGACTTTGAGCTCAAGGGGCCTTTTCAGAAACCATTCTCATTCCTCTTCAAGAGAGGAAAATAGTCAAAGGTTTCCCATGACCACTGAAGAGCACCTCATTAGTTGAGGTCAGTAATGTGAATACTTTGTTGTACAGTTTTCTGAATTTCTTGTATTCCTCTGTTGTGGGACTACCCACCAGAAAGACTGAAAAGATTGGGATTACCAGAGGCCATTGACACATGCTCATCATTCTTCTGAAAAGATTTCCCGAGCACCTCATCTTTGGGGCATATAACAAAAAGTGAACTAATAAACTCTGTCACATAGATATTTTTGAAGAGATTTAACAATTAACTGCATGTCATTTCATACTTATGAAAACAATGAAGATATAGTGAACCTAATTTATTAATTTCATTGCAAGTTTCTCAAATGGTATGTAGAGAGCTGTCTGCTGGCCTCAGTACTTCTGTAGTTTTCTCCCACACAGTATCCAGGTTGGTCTGTGACTGAGAGTATAACGGGGAAGAAGGGAAACAATGTTCTGGAGCCAAGGTAATAAGCGATGCTTCTTTTTTAATTGGCTCTCTTGGAACACTTACTTGGGGGTGGGGAGTTGTTCTTTTGCCATATTGTAAAGATACATAATCACACAGAGAGGTCTACATGGTGAGGCACTGAAGGTTTCCTGTGAAATAAATAACAAGTGAAAAATCACTAGGCATGTGTGTGAGACATCCTAGAAGTGGTTACTTCAATAAGTTTAGAAGACTGCCATTCTAGTTTATGTCTTGAATGCAAGCTTATTAGAATTCCTGAGAAATCACTACAGAACTAAGGTGCCTTCACATTCCCGACCTACAAAATGTGAGGTATATGTCTGAAGCCATAAAATTAGGGAGAATGGATATATAGAGCAATAGATAATATGTACACCTGATGCAAATTCTCTCAAATAATCTTAAGATCAACAAAGCTTTTGCAAAAGAATTCACCTGGGAATTTCTCACCACAATTCATATCCACCTATTATGTACTCTTTTGTGCACAGAGAGGTAGGAGTTACTGGTGAAATATTTTCCACAATGGTCACATCCATTGGAAGTTTGTCCAGTATGAGTCATTAAGTGCTTCTTCACGGCTGAGAGATTATTAAAAGCTTTTCCACAGTGACTGCATTCATATGGTTTCTCTCCAGTATGTATTCTCTTGTGTACAGTTAGAGAAAAACTACTGCTGAAGGATTTCCCACATTCATTACATTCATAGGGCTTCTCTCCAGTGTGAGTTCTTAAGTGTTGGGTTAGATATGAGCTCTTCCTGAAGGTTTTCCCATAGTCCTGGCACTCAAATGGTTTTTCTCCAGTATGAATGCTATTATGTCCAGTGAGTGAGGACCTTGTACTGAAGGCCTTTCCACACTGAGTACATTCATGGTGATTTTCTCCCCCTGTGTGAATTCTTCTGTGGCTTTTGAGGTTACAACTGGTACGAAAGACATGAAAACACTGGTTGCACTCATAGGGCTTTTCCCCAGTGTGAATTCTTACATGAAGTCTGAGGGATGAGGGATCATTAAATGCTTTCCCACAGTGGTTGCATTCAAAAGGTTTTTCCCCATTGTGGATTCTTCTGTGAACACTAAGATAAGATTTGCTTCGGAAGGATTTTCCACACTGAGTACAGTCATATGGTTTTTCTCCAGTATGAATTCTCTTGTGCTGAGTAAGGTTAGATTTTGTGCTGAAGACCTTAAAACATTGATTGCATTTATTGACTTTCTTTCCCTGATGAACTCTTTCCTGTAAGTTATGAGATAAATGGTAAGTATAATTTATAATAATATTATTATTATACCATGCTATAATAAGATTCCCTCTCCCACAAAAATCTATGGCATAATAAACAGTTTGGCTCTTTTCGGAGTTTATATATGACTTCTGCTTAGTCTGAGCTTGTTCAAAGACATAGACAAATGGCTATAAATCCTTATACTAAAAACAAATTCTGATAAATTTAGGAACACTTATGTGTTTAACCAGATTCATCCTTAATGAAATGCAAACTTGTGGGAATTCTCAGTCAAGAGATATATTTAAAGTTGGCTGAATCTTTTCTCTAAAAACATAGTTTCACAGTATTTTCCCAGAGGCATCATTTCCACTGACAGCACATGTAATATTTCCCTGCAATTTAAAAGAATAAAAAACAAAAAACAAACAAACAAACAAACAAACAAAATCAAGGAAAATGTACTTGCTGTCTCCTAAGAGTCAGGGGCTTATGCGATGGAACCTGATGTGTAGGATAATCCAGAGGGAACCTGGAGTAAATAAATGAATTGATATGGAAACACAAAGCTGGGCTTTTGGTTTGTGTGGAATGAGCTAGGAAAATATCTTAGCAGTTCTTCTCTAGAATCTTTATTCCTACTGGAGAGCTGAGCTGTATTGAGGTCTCTAAAGATCGAACAAAGCTCTTCAAGAATTTTTTTCAATGTGATTTTTGTTTTGGCTGGAAAATCCATGGACATTAAAGAGTTTTTTTTTCCATAGCTCTTTTACAGTTTTTTTTCTAACAGGATTTCTGTTCAGAAATCCTAAGAATTATTTAGCAAAAAGATACAGCTCCTTTACAATATTTTCTAGAAGCGATCCAGAGATGGCTGTCTGAAGAGTGAAGACAGCTCTTTTTAGAATGTGTTTTGGCTTTCCTTATTTTATCACAAAATCCAAGAATTACTTTTAGAATTTTTGTAACCGTGATTTTGACTTGGTCAGAATACTCAAGCATTTTTTTATAGCATTTTTTCTTACTTTGGGCAGAAAGCCCATGAGCTATCCAGAAAGCTGGATAGCTGAATTTTTACCAGCAGAGAGAGTTGTCTCAAGCAAAAGGCTAGCTATCTCAAACAGAGAAACAGAGAATTTTTAGTATAGCAAGAAAAAGCTGTCTATAGCAGAGCAGAACACACACACACACACACACACACACACACACAGAGAGAGAGAGAGAGAGAGAGATACACAGAGAGATAGAGATAAAAGAGATATGTAGAGATAGATAGATAGATAGATAGATAGATAGATAGATAGATAGATAGATGATACATTTCAGCAGAATCAGCTTGGACCCATGGTTTGTCTTTGAGTCTTTTGTTTTTGACAAGTCTATCCCCCCTCCAAGCTAAAGCTGGTCTTTGGCAGACACCCGAATGAAGTCTGAGTAAATGGGGTCAGGTCTTTTTTAATACACGCACACACACACACCCCTTCTGTTCTAGCTTTTTTAACTGAAGAGGAGCAGAATAGAGCTTAGTCTATATTTTCTTTTGGCCTCCAGGGACTTTCCTTTATTTGCTTAACTCCACTCTCTGAGACACATATGATTAACACATTTAAAGGACAATATACAAGAAAAAACTTGAAAGGGCCTATTCATCCTAATATTATCTCCACTCAGAAACTAAACCATAAGCTTCTGCTCAAGCAGCAGACCCCAAAGTCTAGGAACAAGACAATAAAGTGCCCTACTCAAAGAACAGCCTAAAGATAGCCACCTAAATAGGAAATATCTCAGAACAGGCCGTCTGTGCTGGTCAGCCCATCCTGTAGTTAATCATTCTGCGCAGGAATGCAGCCCATCTGGGGTATCCCAGAACTCATTGATGAGGTTTTAAATTATAATAACATGTTTGTCTATTTTACACCTAAGTCATTTTGTTTCTGTAGCTGACCAGCCTGTCTGAGTTGTTATGAGGCTGGAAGCTGAGGTCTCCAGTTTAGCACCTCCATAGTAAAACAGTGGGGTATTAGGTAAAGTAGTCTTTGTTCTATCTCTTCAAGAACTGCAGATTTTAAGTTGAAGCCTACAGAAGAAAAAGGGGAGGGATGCCTGTCTGTACACTTTCTTCATCTTTCAGAGTGAATGATCACATGGTAAAAAGTTTACTGCAAGTTTGCATATAAATTCAGGTCATAAGTGAAAGAAGTTTTCCAGCAGAGAACGTTTACATGTGTATCCACTAAGGGTAATTATCTAAACAAACACTCATTACTAGCTCTATGCATTCATGGAGAATTAAAGACCATAACTAAGTTATCCTTGTTGTTTTGTTTAGATAAGCCCAGTCAATATTTATCTTTTGTTCTTGCATCTATAGTAAATCCATAGTACCCTTCTTATGACCTTTTGTTAATGGTTTTACAACCTCTTGGAATATGCTCTAGGTTTGGGATGCTTGTTTACTATCTTAGAAGCAATTAACTCATGATACTTGAAGACTTGCAGAGTTCTCAGTGCAGTTTTGTCATTAGAAAAGATTTAGAAGCAGTCTTATTATAAAAGGGGCTTGAGTGTCTTTTTCTGGGTTAACATTTTGAAGTGGTGGTGATCCCTATTTGCTGGGTGCTTCTACAGAAAAAACACTCTTTATTGTTGCATAATATTTGAATCTGGGGTCTTCCTTCAGTGATTCTCAAACCCTAACAAACTGCAGACACAAACAAGAACTAATAAGAAAGAACCCAGGAGGAAAATCAAACAAAAAGATGTTTGCCTAGAAGAGTACTGGAAAGATACCTAATGTTCTCCAGAACCAAGATTGTTACAGGTATAACCATGGCAATAACATACACTCATAAAAGACCTTCCAAGGGTGTAGGTTCACATTTTTGGTTGATCTCTGATGTGGCATGAGATAAAAAAAAAAGGTGAAGGCAATATTACACCATCTCACATAGTTTTAGTATTTATATATACTCATGCAAATACAAAGCTCATTTGAAGAGATTAAGAGGTTTAGTATTTTTGTTTTATGACTTGAAAGAAATAGCTAAAAAGTTACCTGTGTCCACACTTGATAAATACTGATACTGGAAACTTATTTTTGAAACATCGGTAGTGCTGAATACAATGAAATAACAACTCCAAAGATGGTGAAAAAAACAGACTCCGTATTTACTGCAGACTGAATAACTTAATGTGAAATTCTAAACCTAGTTTTTAAACGTTTATTATTAATAACTACAAAAATAAATACAATAAAGTATGATCATATTTATATTCTCCTCAGTATGTCCCTCTCTCAACTTCTCATTTCCCAACAACTGCCATTAACTCCCCAGGCAGCAGTGGGATGTAGATATCACTCATCCCAATTAAGAAGGAATGTGACTGGCTTGATTTTATGCATGTTTTGTCCAAGCAACCATAGCTGTTCATGAGTATACCAGCCATGTCATACCCAGAAATCCATATTCCCTAGCATTTTTCCCTATCTTCCAGAGTTTAGATTCTTCCCACTTCCTACTCTATGGTGTTCCTTAAGTCTTAGGTGGAGCAGTGCTAATATAGATTTCCCATTGAGTACTGAGTACTTAGCCTCTTATTCTCAGAATTTTGACCAATTATGCATCTCTCCATTGATTGTTTCTCACTGCAAAATGCAACTTCTTAAACCAAGGATGAAGGTAGCCCAGGTCAATGGGTGTGTACACAAGTATTTAGAAGGCAGCATGACCATTTAGCAAATAACAAGAATAGGTTCCATTCAAGGACCTATGATTTCTCCAGCCATAGGCTTTTTACTAATATACTATTAATATATATTTTTAAAGAAAGTTTGAAGCTAACCTGTTCTTCATAAAGACCTTAGGACATAGGAAGACTGTCGCAAAACAAACATGCAATCAAGCAACCACTCCTACAGCTTAAAGCACATATTGACTCCCACACACTGATAGTGAGTGCCTTCAGTAGTCCAATCTCACCTATGTACATGTCATCCAGACAAAATATAAAGAGAAATACTGCAGATACACTGAAACTAATAGAAGAGAAGGTGAGGAAGAGCCTCGAATACTTGTGCACAGGGGAAAAGTTCCTGAACAGAACTCCAATGGCATACGCTCTAAGATCAAGAATTGACAAATGGGACTTCATAAAATTACAGAGTTTCTGTAAGGCAAAGGACACTGTCAATAGGACAAAACGACAACC